GTGGAAATTACGAGGTGGTGAATCGAACTATCACGAACAAGGTCAAAATTAAGATAGCCAACAAAGTTGTTGAGTATCGAGATTTTGATAATTAATAAAGTTTGTTTAAATGCAATGATTCAAAGAAACAGGTCCTCAACGTAGCTGCTTAACTGTTCTAAGAACCACCTCCTCAGGGTAAAGGACCAGCTCTTCTGGTTGATGATTGTACGTCTGTGCAAGACAGTAACTTTATCTCAAAGTTATCCAGGTCCGAGTTTGGTGGAAGAAGGCTACTACATGTGATAAGGGTTGTTGCCCAAGAAGATATGAATAATTCAGTTTGAGACAAGAGTCCCAAAACTTGTGGAGTCCTTGGAACAGTAGGAGTTCTATCAAAGGAAAGGTTGACTATGCATAGGACTCCTAGAAGATCCCAAAGTCCAGGCGTTTAAATACTATATACTTTGGACTTTTGATTTGATCCTTCACACATCAATTGGAGAATTATTTGTTGTCCACTCTAGTCGAGTACCAGTAATGTGTTATTCTTGAGTCAGTCTAGTGAATGTATTTTAGGAAATTGAGCTGTAATCAAGTATCACAAACAATTATTGAGTTGGAGTAAGTATTTGCTTTACAAGTTAGAGTAACTTGTAAATCAAATAGTCGTTGTAGGAGTACTGGAGAGTATTGAATTACAGTCTTGTAATTGATATATTTTGGCTCATTGTTCTAGTGGAGTTGAAGCTAAAAATCATACGTAGTAGGACGTGGTTTTTGTGCCTTTTAAGCCGGGAGATTTTTCACGTAAAAATCGATGTGTTTACTTTACGCTTACTTTACTTAAAGTTTAAGGAACATGGTAAAGAACCAAGTTCTTTAGTAAATTATACGGCCACTTAAACTAACAATTGGTATCAGAGTAGGTTCTCTCACACACACTGCTAGAACCTAGAGAGATCTTGGAGGTAAGATGAGTGTTCTATGTGGAATTAATGAAGCACAATCAACTACCAGACCACCCATGTTCAATGAAAAATATTACAGTTGGTAGAAAGCAAGAATGAAAGACTTCCTGACAGCTGAATACTATGAACTATGGACCATAGTGAAGAAATGTCCATTTACTCATACTAAACAAAATGCACAAAATGAAACAGTTCCTAACGACCCTTCTGAATTTGTGGCAGCAGATTTCAGAATGATGGAGAAAAATGCAAAGGCTAAGAAAGTTCTTATCTGTGGACTTGGTCCTGATGAGTACAGTAGAATCTCTATGTGCTCTAACGCAAAGAAGATATGAGATGCACTCCAAACTACTCATGAAGGAACAAACCAAGTGAAGAGATCAAGGATAGAACTACTTATAAGAAAATCCTTCGATATCCTCCACTGTACCTACATCAATCATTCCCTATTCTTGCTACTCTCACCATCCCCACCTCCACTGCACCCCCACTTCCAAAACCAACCACCAATGTATCTATGCCTATTGCGAAAATACCTCTAAGTCAACCAAGGTCAACGATACTCCAAGAAAATCTGTCAAGAATGTCAAGGTAGTGTCGGATGCTACTACTCAAGTAGACACAGTGGTCAAGGAAGTTCATGGGAATCATTTCCAGTCACTACTAGTCATGTAAAAATCCCTCCTTCAAATTTATATATTTTCGTATCTGCTATAGATGTTGCACCCTTAGACACTCTCCCACACACAAGTGAGAAACCACAAGTGGAGGAATTCACTGTAGAAAACGATGCAGACAATCTGGGGAAAGAGGTAGATACCACTATTGTGGTGCCTCTGGTTGAGGGGAAAAGAGGTAAAGAACCAGTACAAAAGAAGGCATCTGATGATCTTTCATTTAGTTGGACGGAGGATGAGGATGATAATAGGGGTGAAAAGGATGAAGGAGTTGTGGACAATCATGAGAAGCATAATGCTCAAGACATATCTAATGAAGAAGAAAAGAGTGAGAATGAGGGAGATTATGTAGAAGAAAAGGGGAGTGATACAGATGATAGGATAGGTGAACAAGTAAATGATTCTGCAGAAGAAGAAAATAATAGTGAAGAAGAACGTAATTCTGAGAGCTAGGGTGAGAATCAAGAAAAATTAAGTGAGAGTGAATGAGTGAATGAAGAAAGTGAGGAAGAGAATGGGAATATGAGTGAGGAATCTGAAGGCTTTATGACCATTGGGAATACTGTCATACCCCATTCAGAAGAAACTAGTGAAGAGAAAAGGACTCGAGAACTTGGGACTTTGTTAACTCTTTTCAGTGGAGATGAAGAGGTTAGCAGTGATGAAGATGACTTGCCATTGTCTGAGGTAAGGAAGAAACCCAGGAAGACTCTTGTGAAAGCAATAAAGTTAGCAGTTCCAACAAGGAAAGAAGTGGCTCCTTGTGCCAGGACTCCTCTTAAAAGGAGTAAAAGAAAGGATGATGATGAAAAAATCATTAAGGAGTCAAGAAGTGCCAAGAAGCCAAGGAAGAAAGTTTCAATTATGGAAAGTTTATTTAAATGCAATAATTCAAATAACCAGGTCCTCAATGTAGCTGCTTAACTGTTCTTAGAACCAACTCCTCAGGGTAAAGGATCAGCTCTTTTGGTTGATGATTGTACGTCTGTGCAAGACAGTAACTTTATCTCAAAGTTACCAGGTCCGAGTTTGGTGGAAGAAAGTTGCTACATGTGATAAGGGTTGTTACCCAAGAAGATACGAATAATTCAGTTTGAGACAAGAGTCCCAAAACTTGTGGAGTCCTTGGAACAGTAAGAGTCCTATCAAAGGAGAAGCTCACTATGCATAGTACTCCTAGAAGATCCCAACGCCCAGGCGTTTAAATACTATCTAATTTGGACTTTTGATTTGATCCTTCACATATTAACTAAAGAATTATATATTGTTCAATGTAGTCGAGCACTAGCATTGTATTCTTCCTGAATCAGTCTAGTGAATATGTTTTAGTAAATTGAGTTGTAATCAACTGTTACAAACAATTACTGAGTTGGAGTGAGTATTTGATTTACAAGTTAAAGTAACTTTTAAATCAAATAATCGTAGTAGGAGTACTTGAGAGTATTGAATTACAGTTTTGTAATTGATACATTTTGGCTCCTTGTTCTAGTGGAGTTGAAGTTAGTTAATATTTCTCACGGACAAATAAAAATAAATTTAATTTTTTTATTAGAGATTAAATAGGGTGACTTGAAATACTTAAACCCAATTTCAAATAGCAACTCTTAAGCAAATAAAATAATTTCTATTCAAAACCGTCACTTCAAATGAAAAATCCTTTAACCATTTAATTCCTTGTAAACGAGGAATCTCCTTGAAGGCCAGAGAAAATTTTTCTTGTTAAAGAATTCACACAAAAAATCCAAAATGATGGCAAACATTATTGTACGTGTGTTCCTTTTCCATTTTTACATTGTTTATTATTTTTCCAGTTCTCTCGCTATAACCATTCAAGAAAAGCTTGCGCATTTTGAACCTAAACAAAATTTCACTAGCAATATGACATCGATGACCCACGAAGTGCCTTTTCGCACCGACCTAATCATGGTTTCGTTATTAATATTTCAATTGGTTAGTTTTTTGTCTACATGATGGTACTGATAGGCATGTGTATTAATATATTTTGGATTCAGTGATACCCATGTGTCATATCCGTAAAATCGAGGGTAAATTTATGTTTCGAAAACTCTAGCAATGAGTCCTCATTTTCAAGGCCAATTTAAACTCTTTGGATTCAACCTTTAATGCCCTAGCATTGACATCACTGTATTTTTAAAATTATGGGTTCAGACTAAAGTTGTATAAAAAAAACCGACAAACCATGTCGAACCGATAAATCGAGTCAAACCTTGAAAAAAGTATTGAATCAGATAAACCTAATGTCACAACGTTACATCCGCCTCTTCTCATCTTGGCCATGGATGCAATGGATAATATTTTTTTACTCCCCCGTCTCCCTTCTCACCTCAGAGGATCTAGTTATTATTTTCTTAATTTAGAGAGGTGAAATAAAATTTTCTCTTACAAGTAAGGATGCATTTTTTTCTTGCACACCATTTTGCAAAATCGTCTGGCAATTCTTTTATGAAAGGGCAAGTTACGAATAATAAAAATTAGGAGCATTGTAGTAATAGTTGGAAAAAACGGTAACAATATGTTCGTATTACGAAATCTAAGAGAACGACAATATTAAGTGAGAACTGTAACATTATGTGTTCATCTAAATCGAGTCAAACCGATGAATATGAATCGAGTCAAATGAAGTCAAGTTTAGACACAAAGAGTTAACATTAAGATAGAACATCAGAAAATCTAGAGAAAGGAATATATAAAATCCGAGTTGCTGAAGCTGAAACAACTGCATTTGAAGTAACAAAAAGAAAAGCATAAATTATTGTGTGTGGGG